GTGGTGTTGTAAATTTCAGCATAGTTGGAGAACCTGATTCGCAGATCTAGATTTTTCTTTCAAAGGCTTCAGTTTATGTATTCTTCATCTCAGAAACTGAGATGTTATAATTTGATCTCTCATCTTCAGATGTGCAGTAAAACATGACGTTTTAAAACTCTGCATGGATTTAACCAGTAAACAGATTCACAATACCTACCCAGCAATTCCAGTAGTACTATGCAGTACATTCAGTATTTAAAAATTTCTGTTATTTGCTTACAAGTTAACAAATAATACAAATGAGGTTGCTCTAGAACTCCACTGAAGAATATGCTTTCAAGCTTTTATAAAACCAAGTTGCAGTTAAATTGTAAGGCCACAGGCTTGTGCTTGTCAAAGATGTGTTGGTTCTCTGAAGGAGTTTTAGCCGTTCTTGGCTGTGTTTGTGTGATGAAAGTTTTCAGTTTCCACACCTCTGATGCTGTTCCAGTGTATTGTAGGCATAGAAATTCTCAGGAGAGTAGAAAACTATATGTGAGCAAAACAGGAGCATCTTCACCCACACTATAAGGTAGTTCAATAGCTTGTGTAATGCTGTTAACACTGAAAAGATATTCTGGACCTTCTCTCACATTAAACAACCATGTGAATGTGGTTCCAATGGACTGATTTTTATGTAGATTGTTTAACTTGTGTGCTCAGTGAAGAGCAGTCAAACAGGAGTGCATTCTAATTTAAATACTTTCTTGATGACTTCAGAATTCAGCAGTGTACCACTGCTCAGAGTTTAGGTTCAGAGTTTAGATGTCTGTCGAAAATGTTCCTTCTTTGGTATTATGCATTGAGTTCTGACTTGGTTAAATTGCTAGATGTAGGATGATATTCTTTCTAGAATTTAAAGTGTGAATGGTTTTGAAGCAGTAATTTGCATTTCTTATCTCACTGGTACTTCTAAAAGCCCACTGTGCATCCTGTTTGTGAAGATCAAACTGAAATAAACAACAGTATGACTCTCTGATACAGATTTTTTTTAATTGCCTACTTTGGTAACTGTTTGTAGTGTGCTTTATAATAGTTCATCATCTTCATGTAGTTACTTTTTCAGAACAGTAACGTGTGAAGGACTGATGGCAGCATGAATGGTTAGCCTAGCACACAGAGTTGTGTTTTCTGCCTCTTTGTTGAGTATGGCTGGGAAGTGTCCTATAAGACACAGGCAGTAGTGATGTTTCTAATAACTGCAAATATTTTTGCTTTGGGCATTCTTTATTTCTGCCCTGCCTAAAAAACCTGAGCTATTAAACTCGCTTGACAAAAATAATGTATTATATTATGCTTTATCGGGATCATGTCACAGGAACTTGCCCAGTGTTTGACAAATCCAGCTAAGCAGCTATGTGTAGTAGACTGCCTGGTGTTGTCTCCTTTTTTGTTTTCATTAAGTAACTGCCTGAATTTTAATCTAATTCCTCCTAATATTTACGGTTTCAGGCAAAAATGTAGCTATTTTATGTAAACAGTGTCTTGATAGTGGTAGCCCAAAAGTGAACTTGGGGTAGTTTTATTGTCAGTTTGACAACTCCTGACCTAAAGATCAATGTACCTTCATTTTAAGATGTGCTGATGTGTACATAGCATTGTCCTTACCAATCAGTGAAGTAAGCCAAATGAAATGTATTGATGTTTTCTCTGAATTTATAGGAAAAGATGAAAAGCTGAGCTATAAGCATTTTGTATCAGTCTTTCATTTCCTGCTTAAGGGGCATACTTTATATGGGAAATAATTTCAACCAACACAAAATTAGTGTTGTTTCCCTCTTTCTTTTTTTAACCTCTTTTTCAGTTTTTCCCTCTTTTGTATTTCTTTTTCCTTCTTATGCCTTTATTTGTAGCTATTTTTCCTGCCTTTTTTTTTTTTGTTTTTGTTTGAGAGGTCACTGTGCAGAATAGTAGCTAGTAGCTACGAGATGAGTAGTATTTGTGAAATAGTATGTATGGAAAAAACCCCATCATTTAACCCTTTCAAAATAGGTAAAAGGTTCCATATGGAACACAAAAAAAAATCCAAATGGCAAACAAACTAGACTAAAAATCAATCAAAAGGTCCAAAGTTAAAACCAAATAAAAGAGGGGCGAAATAATGCTTTTCATACTAAATGAGTCTAGAAGAGTCCTTAAACATTTCTCAAACCTAGGAGCTGAAGTCAAACAGGACCCTTAATCTTACAGAAAAATCTATTGCAAATTTCACTGCAGAAATTGAGAGCAAGACCTAATGCTGGTATGCTCCAAGAAAGATGGACTTTCCCATATTGTTGTGTGCAACATTACTTCAGTCATGAAGACTTTGGGAGCAGTAGTAAGCACCTCCCAAAACCACAACAGAAGCTGCCATTTGGGCCTTTTTTATGGCTTTGTAGAGACTGGCCTCCCAGGGTTTTTAGAAGGCAGCTGTTTACTGGCTTCTGGAGTTTTACAGAGCAAGTCATTGCCAGATTGTATTTGGAATCTTTGACCTATCAGTGACAGGCTTGGATCTTCCATTTCAGGAGTGATGGCATTGTAATAGCTATCTTGGCAGGGGGAACAGGAGGAAGAGCTGGATGGGGATGGGAAGGGACTTAGGGCCAAAAAACCCCAAGAAGTTTGAAAGATCAGAATTGCCTGCCTGCTGCTTTTCTACCTCTTACTTTTTCTCTACATCATTCTCTTTCTGCAAGAGATGCCAAGATTTAATGGTTGGGGAAGGAGAGAAGAACTTTTATTTCAAGTTTCTTTTCAACCTTTTTGTGCTTTTCTGCAAATTAATGCTACTTTTTGCCCAGTACAGATGAGACTGGGCATATGTAACCCTTATACTGCCAAATCGGTGTTAAAATCTTACTGCAAAAGTGGTGTGGTCAGACCTTTGAGCAAATTTTAGTGGTATATACAAATAGCATTTTGAATTTCATTAACTTGCTTTAATTTGATTTATATGTTTTGAGCAAGATATATGCATACAAGAGCAAGGATTTAATTGCAGTATGATTTTTGGAATTGTATTTGTTGTAAGGAGATATTTGGGAGACAGGATTTATAGTAAAATATGTTTTGAGATTAATTTAGAATTGGGGGTTGTCTTGGGACAGTGCTTTTTGATTTTTTATTTAATTATTTTAAAATTTCTTTAAAAAGGATCATTAAGTATCTTTTAAGGAATAGGTAGACAGCACAGGTATTCTGTCTGTCCCAGTAATTGCTTTGATCTATGTTTTAAGTGAATTTAGTCTTCTGTAGTTCCAGGAGAAAAGCTTTTTTTACTTCAGAGTGTTTTGGAAATGCTGATGTCTAGCTTAGGGATACTTCAGACTGGCCTGGTATATTGCCGTACAGCAGGAAGAAATAGCTACATATGCATATCATCAATTTAATTATTTTTAGTGTTAAGATGAATAATTTGAAAGGCTTTGGTTAGCAAAGGTTTTATGCTTCTCTGATTATTCAGTTTGTTTTATTTTTGTCCTCCCTCTTTTGTGGTATTAGCTTTAAAAGGCCAAATTACTACTTTAAGTCAGAATAAATAACTTTCAATTTTCCATAGGAGCTGAAGTTAAAAGATGAAGAATGTGAAAGGCTTTCTAAAGTGCGAGATCAACTTGGACAGGAATTGGAAGAACTTACAGCTAGTCTGTTTGAGGTTTGTTGGAGTCTTCGATGTGATATACTTAAAGGAAGCTGTAGAACCAGTATATTGTATGCTGAATTTTTCTGCAATAAGATTATAAAGGGATTTGTGTCCTGAAGACTTGGGCGTGTTGAAGTAGAGGCTTAAGAGCAAGCAGCAGACTTTTCAGTTAGATGAAAGACACTGTTGAGCTGTTGATCTGCCTAGACACAAAATGAAGAAAATAAGGAAAATATATCGGCTTATTTTTTGGCATGACTATTTTGAGACAGCTTCTCTGTCTGACAACAAGGCTATCTAGATAAGAGCTAAATTTGGGGTTGCCATGGTGACTAAATAAGTAGTTCCAGATCAATGAAGGTAGCAACTACTTAACTTAACCATGCTTTCAGCTTCTGAATTTTGGGTTTGGCAGCATGCTACTCCCACAAACATGAAAAGAAACAGTAGTACTGAGTGGTGCACCAGGGTGAGACCTGGTTACCAAGTGAGAACCCTAAAGTTTAAGTGGGACCCTTTGATTTGGGGAAAAGCCAGCAGTGCCAGCAAAGATTGTGAGCCTGTATTACAGAGAATAAAAATTCCTACATCCATAACTTGAAGCAGGACCAGTTCTTAGTTTATTTTAGGAATATATGTAGAAATGCCTAGGGCCTAAATTGTGATATCTATAACTGTCAGAATAAATTTCATAATCCATGGATGATTTGTATATTTTCCAAACTTGGAAAATATACAAATACTTGGCTTTCAGCATATGCATTAAAATACAACATTAGGTATGTTTTAGAAACAGTATTTAAACCTATGATGTTGTATTGGTATAAAAGTGCTATCAAGAGTTTGAAAATACTGAATTAAAAAATCAGATTACAAACTGCTCTGTGGATTTTCTTTTCATCATCCTGGTAGAGCAAGGTTCTTTAAAATATTAAGCTGTTCCTTTCTGCAAAAAATAAATGGGAGACCAGAAGGGTGCTTTCCAGGATAAATACCTACGTATGTTGGGGGGGAGAGGAAAATACTGGGCAGGTACTTTAACTGTAGAAGAACAAAAAGAAATTATCAGTGACATTGTTATACTAGTGATACTTCATAACTTAATTTTAACAAATTGACACATTGTTCTATGTTTGAAATATAGTATATTAGTAATAATAGTTTGACTTTGAATTACTCAGACCGCTTTGGGCACTTACTTGAATTGTCTTTTGCGATTTGATTTCAGTAAGAGGCCCTAACAAGACCACATTGAGGTTTATTGATTTTTTTTTTTTTTTAATTTTTTTTTTTTGCACTGGGATCTATAGCCCTTGAATTCATGTTTTACTCTGAATCCCACTAATTTCGGTGACCATGTAAGTGGATATTCTAGGGCTTATATTAATGCATCCTAGTGGAGGATTGAGACTTGTTTTGCACAGCTGGGTCCATATATTACATTATTACACCATAATAGCATAGTAACATGCTTTGCTTTCAAAGGTGCATCACTGAGCAGAAACTGCATGGTCAATGTTAAATGTATTTGTACACATTGTATAAATGTGTATGTTCCCATTCCTGCATGTGTCTTGTTACTTGAGATAATTTTACAACCACGTATTATACAGCTGTGTTGTATGCCAGTGGGAGCCAGATCTTACGGTATGATGATGTATGAAATTTTTGTTTGATTTATATAGTGTCCAGATGTGCTAGGCGCTTTACAGATATGAAAAGATCCTATCCCAAGTAGCTTAGTTGGTGGCTCTGATCTTTCATTTTTTGTTGCCTTGAGTAAGTACTACATAAGAACAGTAATTTAATCACAGGCACAAATTGCTGAATCAGAGCCTAAACAAATGCATTATATGGACAAAAGGCTTAAAGGTATGAGGTAAAAGGATGTTGAAAAACCCTCAGTCCCTTTATGCTTTCTTCTGTATTGACTTTACCTTGGTTCTTGGGTTGCTTTTTTGGTGCCTTTTATGTTCTACTTAGAAAAGTGTATTAAACGACAAAATGTGTTTAAGCTGTTGCTTTGTCTGTTTTATTAATGGCAAGAGTTTAGGCTTCATAGTTGTTTGATGAGTACCTTCATGCAGAAATGTACAGTTGTCTAAAACTGGTTATTCTGGCTAGAAGAAGGGAGAAGTTCTTTTGAATGTGCTACTTTCCCTATGTTGCTTTTGTTGCTATTGGTTGAGTCTTTCTCTTGGGGGTCAAGGAACTTGACTTGTCAGCCACTGAAGCGTGACTGGAGCCTGGTGTTCATGACAGGTATTGTTCCTGTTGGAGGGGAGTGGGTGGAGTTGCTGAATTTCTGTCTCTGGGCTGAGAAGCAAGGAGAAGAAACTTGTGGACCAGTGATGAATCCAAATGATAGATTAGTAGGGGGTTTTTTTAAATGCAGCTATTTCATTTCAGACTACTGCACAACTTAATATTCACAAGTAGTCTCCATGAAGCAAAAGTATGTCCGTAGTTGTTGGGGTTTTTTGTAAATGTGTGTGAAGCATTTACACTAGCTAAACGTTTTTTATAGGAAGCACACAAAATGGTTAAAGAAGCAAATGTCAAACAAGCTGCAGCAGAAAAACAGTTAAAAGAAGCACAAGGAAAGGTGAGTTTATTCCAGCTTGCTTTGTCTTTTCAAATGGTTATAAATCTAAAGTGTGAATCATAAAGATGTAAATAGAACATTGCCTATACACATTATTAGAATATATACCACATTGTTTTGTGTTGCTTAACATATCCTTAGCTAACAGCCAAGGACATAGTGTTTCAGCATCATGTCAGATAACCAGCAAGGTGCATAGGAAGCCAGTGCTACTGCAATAGGCAATTGCATAGGCATATGTGTGTTAGTGCAAATCAAGACTTCATCTTCCAAGAGTACTAAGGTAATGGAGATTTTGTTAAATGATTTCACATATTCATAGTCTAATGTGATATTGTTGTTTGTTAATTTTATTCTTCCCTCACATGCCCCACCCCAAGATTGATGTTCTCCAGGCTGAAGTAGCAGCACTGAAAACACTAGTACTGTCTACTTCACCAACGTCTCCAACTAAGGAGTTTCAGTCTGGTGGAAAAACTCCTTTTAAGAAAGGCCATGCAAGAAACAAGAGTACAAGCAGTGCTATGGGTGGCAGTCATCAGGACCTTACCATGATGCAGCCAATTGTGAAAGACTGTAAAGAGGTAACAGCACAAGATTTGTTCTTTTTGCTGATAACCTGGCTTTATTGTTTTGTTCTACTCATGGTAAATTTAGTATATATATAAAATCTTCATGTAATGCTGACTATTTTAGAGATATTTTTTATTAATGAAAGAACTTAACTTACATACCAATAGGTGGTGATTTTTCCAAGTCCTGTTTACCTTTAAATCATTAAGGGAAGATGAGATAAGAATTCAAATATTGGAATTAGTAATTTAACAACCAAACAAAACAATAAACCAAAACAATGTAACTGCTTGGTCTGACCAGGACTGATGGGGGTCGCTGGACAAAAAAGAGGAAAAGTATCTTTGCTCAGGGGCTTGCAAAGCTTGTAGAGACAGCTTTAAACTAGATCTGTTGGGGGAGGGGGGCACCTATTCATCCTGATCCTACAGGTTGAATGCCACGACCGATAATGGGTGCCCAGAACAGAGCAATGTCAGTGGTAAGACTCCAGCCAGTGTGCTGGGGTTCATCCAGGGACTGGCTCAAATGTCTCTACACCAACACATGTAGTATGGGCAATAAACAAGAGGAACTGGAGACGTGTGTGTGCCTGTGTAGATATGACATTGTGGGTATGTATCACAGAGACGTGGTGGGTTAAAGAGGCCAGGAAAAAGAGAAAATAAATGATTTGTTAGAGAACAGGAGGAGAGTTACCACTGGAAACCCAAGGACCTGTGTGTTTTTTGGTTTTTTTTTTAATATACTCATAGAACTGAAAATGGGGACATAATAAGGTGATATCATGGTACTTGAGTCCTTGAAATAGTAGTAGCAAAAATTGACCAAAGATTTGAGAAGGAGCTTATTTTACTGGGTGGTTAGTAGAACAGTGGGTGAAATTCAAAATCAATAAATGAGAAATAAGACATCTAGAGAAATAAATGCAACTAGAAAGCTTGCAGTTGTGAACTTGGAAGGAGCTACATTGTGCTGGAAAAATAAAGATAGTGTCTTTGTTGATCGTTGTCTGATTTAGGGGTTTAGAGATTTAGGAGTTCTTAAGAAAGGAATAAATAGCAAAAGAAAAAACATGATACTGCTGTATAAATATGTAGTAAATGTGTGTTTCTATGCATGCAGATATGATGTCTTAATCTCAGAAAGGCCATAATGAAAACATGAGGAAATGTGACATAGATGGTCAAACCTATGGAAGGATTTGCGTATATAAAGAGATACTTGAGGTAGAATAAAAATCTGTGCAATCACAGGTGACATGAGGAAGATGAATTATGAACAATATTAATGATTTCTTGTAATAAGAAAACTGGAAGCTGAAAGGTACATAATTTTCAGTTAGTACATAATGGAACTTCAACTCATTGTCATGAGGTAGCAAGATCAAAAATATAAATGTGTTCAAAATATAGTCACACAAAGTGACAAAAGAAAATTCTATCACAGTATATAGAAGATATGACATTTGGGATATGAAGATTCTTTAACTACAGGTTGTTAGAAGCTTTGAGGCTGTCAGATGAGGACATGTCACTGTCCTCTCATACGGCCCTTCAGCTCTGTGCCTGCTGGCCATTGTCAAAAGGGTGACAGGCCAACAGGATCTTTAATGTGATTCAAGGTGGCCATTTTTATACTGTGTTTTGCCAGTCATCATTAACTGCATTTGTACTAGACACCTTTTCACAATAAATCTAGAAAATAAAGGTACCTTTCAATTTCTGTTTCATACTCAAAAAAAAAAAAAGGCAGAAGATTGACCACCTGCCTCTGCCCACTTTCAGTGCTATCAAGGATATTTTCCTTGTTGCCCTTCAGAAAATGGGAGAGCTGAGGTGAAATGCAGTTACTTTGTAAGCTTCACACTGAGGTCATGACTCCATGAAATTTTTCAGTATTGGGCAAGAGCGAGAGAGAGGAGGAATCTGTCTTGCCTCAATTTCTTGTGGAGAGGAAGTGGTGAACATGAAGGACATGCTGCAGGAGAACCAATCTGCTGACATTTTTCTTTAATTCAGTCTCTCTTTTTGGGGGCTGCATAAGGAGAACTTCAAGGCTGCTCAAACTGGTGACTTGTTTCTTCCAGTGACAGCCCAGGGAATCACTGTGAAACATGGATTTTCTACCCTCTGGGACTTGAGTCTTTCTGTTTCTCTTCTGAGCAGGATTACTTAATGGAATTTAGCATGGAGTGAAGAAAGCAAGAAGCCTCTGGCCTGGTGGCTAGGACATTGTTTTAAACAGGGGAGATAATGCCTTCCCAAATACTTTTATTATCCAACACTTTCTGGTTTTGTTTACTGCTTTTTTTTTTTTATAGTTGGTTGCATTTCTGGGAGCTGGGTCTGAAACCCTAGTTCTGTCCCCTTGATAAATGTTCTTTCCACTGAGTTAGGTTACCCTTTGTATGTTATTCTTCTGATTCTGAGTGACTTGGCTTCAAAAGGTGGTCGGAAAACACCCTTGCCCAGGGCTTGTGGTGTGGGGAATATAGCTGTGAACCCTTATGGAAAGTTTACCACCTAGAGCTTTGCATTTCGAGCTGTTGGATGGAAGTGGGTGCAAATACGTTTCAATTCTGAGGTTTCTTTATGGGATGTAGACAGAGTCAAGAGTGGATGGCTTTCTGTTCTAAATTGCAGTGGATCTAGAAAGGTTCCAACATCTCAGAAAAATACTACCTAGCATGCAGTAGTAATCTCTAGGACAAATTGACATGTCTAATGAATTTACATATTAAAAGATTGAAATAAGCTGAATAGCTGCCTGGTTCTTAGGCAGACAGGTAGCATCCACTCACATAAATGCTGATAAATGCATCAGCATTGTTCAAAGAGCTGAAATGTTTCACTGATGTATTTTACTGTAAAATGAAAACATTAAAAAATTAACTGGAATTATTATTACATTTGGCTGTATATATAATTTCAGGCAATCAAAACTGAGCTAGTGAAAACACAAGTAAAGATGGGAGGAGATACATATATCACATAGGTTGGAAAGGAAGAACATTAAACTATGTTCACTGAACAGTTTTTTCAAAGCAGGTTCTTTATAAACTGCAGGTTTGCGTAAAATAGAGTTAAATCTAGAAAATAACCAAGTTAGTAAGAAATGCATCTTCATTTTTAGAATCCTGTAGTACAGGTCAGAAATGGATGGGGGTTTTGCTGGTGTCTCTTGATTGTATTCATTTTAAAGCTAGACCTGAGATGGGTTTTAAGGTGTGGGAAATGTTCCTTTAGGGAGCAAGTTACACATATTGAATTTCATTTGTACAATGAAGTTGGTGGCTTAGCAACCAGAACATTTATGGACTAGTTTAATTAAGATGCTTGTTCCTGATTGTACCAGAGTGTAAGGCAAGTAGCCCTAATGGAAAACAAATCTTTAATTTTTATTAGCTATTTTTCAAGAAAAAGACTAAAACTAACCACCCTCCTCTCCCTCCCATCGAAAATGACAAAAGAACTCCCCAAAGCATCTATGTAATAGAATGGCAAAGTGCTGGGAACTTAGAGAAGGGGTAATGCATGGGGAAAGAAAAAAATGAGATTGGTTCAAAGCAGCATACTGATATTTCTAATATGATAAAAATAAATCAATTTTTAGCATATATTGTTTTCCCTTTTTCATTATCTACATTATTTGTTTTTAATAGTACAAAATTTTAAATTCACATCCTGGTTTATTTACCTGAAGTGTATGTTCTTCCTGTAGTTTTCAGTTTTAGGAGTATAGGTCTGGGGTAGTACAGGAAAGGGATTTAATCAGTTGGACAGGAAAGGGTGCTGAAGTCTGTGACAGCAGAATGTCAAAACCAGTCTGAGGATGGTGTTGCATATCCCACTGGGGACTGGCATTAGTCTTTTATGTTGGATTAGGAGCATCCATCGCATGCACTCATCCCTGTGCTGCTTGGTTTGTCTCCTGGAGCAGTGTTGTAGCCCACGAATGTGTTCTTTCTCAAGTAACCCTAAACTAGTTGATGTGCTCTGGGAGTATCTCAGTGTGCTCTAGCTGTTAATGGGTAGCCAACCTATGGGACAGGCTGTCCCATAAGTGAGCAGGGATTTTTAATAGTGAGCTGGTACTAGTCTCCTGAGCACCAGACTGGATAGGTGCCTTGGTGCCTTCCTATTGCCAACTGATCTCAACATGGAGATAACAAAAGGTGTTTTCAAAGCAGGTAAAATAGTCTTTTCCTAACAGAGCATGGTTACTCCTAGCACAATTTAAGGGGTTGTTTTAGCATTTCCTCTTTGACTATGGGAGCTGTGGAGGAGCAGGCACATAAATCATTCTCAGTGAATGCTCTTGCCTTTCTGTTGTATGGTGGTGTAGGAGAGAGTCTGTAGGAGAAAGTATAAAGTTGAAAAAAGAAGAATATTTAATTGATTTGTACGTTGACTTCCTGTTTCCCTCTGTTAGTAGGTTTAGTGAGTTAGTACATTTTTAGTGTTCAGATAGTAGTGTGTTATAGTCAGATGCAGGGTGAACATAAAAGTATCTAGGATTGCAGTTCTTTGAATTTTTCTGTTTTTCTGTGACTCTCACAAATAGAGGTGGACTAAAATACTGTAATGAAGATGGATCAAGAAGGAAATAAGTTTTTCAGAGGTATCCTGGAAACTTAAGAAATTGGCTTGTCCCTGGCATAGTGGTGACCAGTGAATGCATTATCTCTGTGTCTTGAAAATTATATGTTTGGATTTGCTTATATTTATAGTCTTAGGAAAGTGGATTTGAAATTGGATTTGAGAAGGTGTTCATAACTGGAGCATGATAGAATTCTTTCACAGTGCAATGGAAAGCATTTTAATGCTCGTTATTTACATGTGGATATTTGCAAATGATAGACTATAGTAGTGTGACAATTGCAGGACTAAAATATGTGAATCTTTTCTGTGTGTTCTAGGCTGACCTGTCTTTGTACAATGAATTCAGATCTTGGAAGGATGAGCCTACTATGGACAGAACATGTCCTTTCTTGGACAAAATTTATCGGGAAGATATTTTTCCATGTTTAACCTTCTCAAAAAGTGAGGTAATGGAAATGGTCTAAATGTAGTCACTGATGCTTTCCCCTTAAACATGTTGCATGAAGTCAATAGACTTAAAATATTTTCCTATGAAGTTTAGCGATTTTTGTTTCAATAATGTCTGACAGTTTGCCATGAAGTGCTAAAATTTAGTCTGGAGTATTGAAATGACCCTATTTTTTTTTCCCCACTATTTCACTTATGCTGTTCCAGACATGGCATTGTTAGGTCGCCTTCTTCAGATATTACTCCTATCTGCCAGCATCTTATGTTTGTAGGAATGGATGGAGGTTTTCTTCCTGATACTTCAAATATAGTGTAAAAATTCATTTTGTGGACCAATTTTCTCTCCTATCAGTTAGCACAGACTGCAAGCACAGTCTGGGGGCTTTCATGGAGAGAGGTTTGAGTTACAAGAATTAGACCTTGGGTTTTGATATGATTGAACAGGGGCAGTTTGGGAATATGGTGTTAGAGGAATTGAATTATGAGACATTTTTACCTTGTGTTATTCCTACACATTCTCCTATACAGAGGAAAGACCGGAGTTTTACCCATCTTGGGAATAACATGGATCCGATTATAGCTCCAACTGCTTTACTTGGTTTTGTTCTTAAGCAGCATTTATGGGCTGCAGTTGTGATACCAGTCAGTAGGGAAATGGGAGTGTATTCTAAGATCTTTATTAAAATGAGAATAACAAATTTTAAAGCCCTAAGTATTGATTCTTTTCCCCAATAAAATTAAACACCTTAGTGCATAGTAAATCTTGAATTGTATTCACGTTTATATGTTGTTTTAGGGAGATGTGTGTTCTTTTCCCATGCTTTTCATCTGCTGATAACTGCTGGCCATAAGTACATGCAGCCTTTTAGTTCATTGTATATCAGTTTGTTATGGTTGGTGTACAGCATCATATGAACCTCTCCCACTAAAAAGCTTACTTGGTTACTATGGGTATTCAGTTGCTACTGCTGTAATCTAAGTATGCCATCCTGTTGTCTTTCCCAGCAACTTAATTTGGGGGGTGTTGTGCTTCAGTGGTAAATACTGTAGATTTGTATTGCCTCTTAAGGGAAGAATGAGGGTACTAGCACTCGTCAGTTATATCATTTATTGTTTCCAGATGCTGTGTGTAGTGACCAACTTTTGTTTTCACTTGGCTCTTGACAGGCTAATATGCAGTTAAACCAAACAATAAATTACACGTGTTTTGTTTTTGAGTGATTGGAAATGCAGTTATCTGAATGGTTGAAGTATTACATCACATCTCAATAGCCTCTTGTGTATATGTGTAGTGTTGTGCTTTTGGGAGATGGCAGAGTATTTAATATGAATTCCTTTAATAGTAGCATTCTGTTTTTCAAATAAAGTACAATAGAAAAATACCTTTATTACTCTGGAGGAAGGAACCTTGGCATAAAATTGTTTCATTAACAAAATAAATCGTACCTTCTTTTAAGTCAAGTAATGGTTATTGCTTTAAACAGGAGTCTTGGGCAAGTTTTTGGTCCAATCAAGAAAAATGATCACATTTCTAGTGTCTTATGATTGTGTGTTTATAAAGAATTAACATAAAAAGCCTAAGCAAAGTTGCACTTTGTTTCATGAAGGTGATGTATTTAACTAGACCAGTGTTTTAAAGTTGCAATTGGCTTTTCTATATATTGTTCCGTTTTAATTGTTTGAACACCTTTCTAAAGCTATATTTGGCCCCAAAAGAGTGACATATTTACCTGTTTTATTCAAGATGAAAAAGCATCCTGTATAATTTTATATTTTTTCATAGAACACAAAATTAGACAACTTCCTAAAATAAGTGCCATATTCAGTCTCTGACAGGAAAATATGTGCTATTTGGTCATGTGACAAATGACTGAAAACACAGTTAGTATTTTAAACATGCTTGACTACATTCCTGGCTGTAAAGGAAGCTACCCTGCCTCAGGAAAGGCAGGGATATATGGAGGGTGGAATTTAAACAGGAGCTTGGAAATGGGACCTCTTGCTCATGATGAAAGTGGAATCTCATTTTTAGTGAAGTTTCTGTTTGGTGAGTGGATTTTTTTTAATTTTCTGTGTTCCTAACTTTCCATAAGAAGAAATATGTCACCACTTTGAGGCAATGGATAATGCAGAGCTGTTTTTAACTGCTTTCTAAATTTCACTTGCAGTTGGCCTCAGCTGTTCTGGAAGCTGTTGAAAACAACACTCTGAGCATTGAACCTGTTGGCTTGCAACCTGTTCGATTTGTGAAAGCTTCTGCAGTTGAATGTGGTGGACCAAAGTATGTTAGAGCTAACACGGAGGGGTAATCTTGGCTCATTTGAGATATCTTGGGTTGAGAAAACTGCTACCAACTGATCATCTCAGTCAAATTTGTGTGTCTTAAATTTAATTTCCTAAAATGTAAAGACTTGAAGATTGTTGTGAGAAAATTTTATGCGAAAGTAAGCAACTAATAGACTAACATAGAGCAAACCTTTAAGACGTCTTGCCTTTTAGCTGTTGAACAGTGCTTGTGATGATGTATAGTGTTGCCTTAACAAAAGACAGCTGGGTTTCCCCACAAGATTGAAGTAATTGTCCCCATGAGAGCATGTGTGCCATACAGTGCAGAACTGAGTCATCAGTAGTAACTATCATGCTAGCATTTAACCTGATGTGATGGCAGATAACATATTGAAGGTAATTCCGTAGCCAGAAGGGAAAAAGGGTTTTATTTTCATAACATGGAAAGTTTGTCTGTCTTCTGACAAAAGCTTGACTGAAATTGTGATCAGCTTGCTTCAGTTACTGTAGGATTTCTTGTATCAGTGGACTGCTCTCAGTCCTCCTAAATTGCTGTGGAAAATCATATACACTTGTCAATTTTCTCCTGTCTTTCATGGTTCTGCGGGGACCAGCTGCAGGCTGTTTGAAGGGACCTCTGAGCCACTGTTTAGAACCAGAGAAGCTCAGTAATTCTTGTTTCACTTTTGAAAGGCTGCTTGTTCTTAGACTCCCTAATTTCATGAGGTGGAAATGGGAGGGAGAAAAGGCAGCAGCTTTTAAAATTAATGAAACAGTGGTTGGCATGACAACCAAGTCTGAGATGCTGTAATAAAGACATTCCAAATGAATCAAATTCTTCTCATTTTTAAAAATTCATTGTCTCTTCCTAAACTGTTTCTTTTTGGAAGAATTTGTGATGGCTACTGACCTTTCCTGAATACTGCAGATTTGCAGTACACCGGAAGTAAATTTGATTATTTTCTATGTTTTTTTGTAATGATAATGGAAAGTATTATTGCCAGACAGCCTGTTTTCCTTTATCTCAAAATGTTTTACAATCTGAATGTAAAATATGATTTTAGTTTGGGCATAAATGCAAAGTTGGCCTTAGAATGCACCCAAGAGAGGCTTCAGAGAATTGACTGCTCTTCTGATGTTTTTTATTATGGAATAAAATATCAAGTGGAATTTTAAAAAAATCTTTTTAAATGTTGGCATCAACTGATAATTTAAATAATGTTTATTTCACATATCAAGAGTTAATTAAAGAAATCCCAGTGCTCCAGAATTGTCAAGATAGCTGAATTAGTGAATATGGAAGTACATGGCTTGAGCTGAAGCAAGTTTTAAAATTCAAAAAAGCATAATGCACCCGTATTGAAATGAAATTAGTCCTCGAGGAACTAAAATAATTGACAGCATAATGTAATAATTGCAGCTTGCAAAATGAAGGCAGTGACTCATGTATCTGTACCAATATGAAGCAGTTACATTAACCTCATGAGCAGGTGCTAATGTCAGATTTGTTTATTAAATCATGCAAACTTTTTATTTGTAGGAAATGTGCTCTCAGTGGACAAAGTAAGTCATGCAAGCATAGAATCAAATTAGGAGATTCAAGCAGTTATTACTACATCTCTCCGTTCTGTCGTTACAGGGTGAGTGGATGTACTGTGATTTTATTTTGCATAATAGTTATTTCGTTGTTTTTTTCCATACTGTTGCCTTAAATTATATTAACCACCGTTATTTTTATTGAGTTCAGATCACTTCTGTGTGTAACTTCTTTACATATATTCGATACATCCAGCAAGGACTGTTGAAGCAGCAAGATGGTGAGTAGGAAATTTTATTCAGCATATATAAACAGAAATTTGCAAAGAACCTGTGCCTAAAAGTTGCTGTCTGTGCATAGTAGCTGTGACCTAACATTACAGGAAAGCTGAGAGCTATCAGTTCATACTTGATCTAATTGCAAGAATGTGGTGATTTTTCACCCTCCAATGAAGTTATTCTTGTTAAACAACAGCAAAAAATTAAAAAGCAGTGATTTTTAGTCCATCTAAAAGCCCCTTCCATAATTCAGTAAGAAGTGTTGAAGAAGTCTGTAACTGGACTTAATCACAGTTATTCCACAGAGTAGTCAAAAATCAAGTCTCTTTCACAGAAAATGGAGATATTTTAGATAAAAATCCCACTTCCGTTTGTTTTTTTTCAGGGCCATTTCTTTCTTTCACTTGGTGTTTTGGTGCATCTTCTCATTTTGTGCATTGAGAATTGAGACAGTTGTTATTGTTGGGCTATTTTTTCAGAAGGAACAGGCAAGGATGACAGTATTTGGATTAAATTGTATAAAATAAACAGGAAACCTGTTAGATATACAGAAAACCTGTATACTGCAATCATTTGTGTGAGTGCAGCTGAGAAATGAGGTCCTGGTCATCGCAGTAGCATGACAAAATCTGTTGGTTAGGTCTGTGGTTATAAATGTAAGGTTTGATTACTCTCCACCCCAAAGAGAAATGTTTTTACTTCCATTGCTTCAGGCCACGGTGTGTTTTTTTGCTTTGTTCGTGTCAGAATAGCATATCCAGCAAGTGCCTATTTAAACCCTGTCTGCATGGTGATTTGGAAATTTGCTGAACTCTGCTGTCTGGTTTCAGTATGCCCATATAAAAGATGCTTTTGAAAATGTTTGCACTGTACACCTAGTGACTTAATTCTGGAATTAAAAAAATATATTGCATGCCGGAGTTTTAGTTATTGGTCTTCATTTTCAAGACCATTTTAGATGTTTATCACTATAAAAGAAAATGAAGATGATTTGATTGTGTTTAAACTGCACACAATTATTTAATTGTATTTCTTGTCCAGGCCAAAGAATATTGCCTAACAGCTTTCAGTCCAGGGTTTTTTTTGAAACAGGTCGTATCACTTAGGCTCACAGATCTGCTGAAGCACAGATAGTGGAAAAGTGTCATTAGCCCTGTGTCAGCAGTTAATTAAAAATTTGCTTTCGCTGTGAAAATGTAATTTTTTTTTAGTTCAGTTGCATTTTAGGAAGTAGAGTAAAATAGCATTGTAATGTTTATGAATGTCTGTGCATTTCATTATTACAGTTGTCAAGTCTGTGGATTTGCTTCATCGTCAGTTTGGCTAGAATTTGCTTTGTGTTACTATGTCACCTATAGTCTTCTCTTCTGATGTTTCCGAATTTCAAGAGCTCAGGATTTTAGCTACACTCAAATATTTTGTTTCCATTTCTAACCTGAATTACTTTTGAGGTGATAGGTAGACTGTTCCTCACAAAAAGTAATGCTGTTAATTTTTCCTAACAAAAGGTCATGGAATTCGCCAGAAATTCACCTGTTTCATATGCTAAATTTGTTTAATAAAATCTTCAGATGGCAGTAATTTTTATTTACTTAGACCAAAAGGATCTATAAAGTTTCAACTAAACATTGTTTACTTTGCTATTGAGGTAAATACATTAAGTTATTTTATATCAAAGAATGAACTATTTTCAGCATTATCAGATTTAATTATTCTTCACAAGCAGTTTGGAAAAAACTTTGTTTGGTGTTTCAGCTCAATTGTCATCTTTACCATTAAAATAGAATTAGCATTTGTGGTATGTAAGCATTTTAACAGTACCTTTGCAAGAATGTAGGAACTCATGATAGTTGTCTGTATAATGTGCTGCAGTTCTACTAATGCGCCGTATGATTTTTGAGACGGAGATCACTTCTACAAAAGTGGTTTTTGAAATATGGTAGGGAAGACCTTGTACTTGTTCAGATTAATGATATTTGTAGACATACTACATCATGATCCTGACTGCATGGAAATTATTTTTGTCTTGAGTAACTGTGTACAGCAATTGATTTTTATTGCTGTGGCATCTGGAAGCTTAAGGTATGTACCAGGCTCATCAAGTTTAGCAAAATGGAGATGAAATAAAAAAAGTCTTTCCCACCCAATTTACTGTTACTTGCAGATTACTGTGGGAAAAAAAGAGGGAGGAAGAAAGATTACAAATGGAAAAATGATAACAAAACTACAGATTCTTTGATGAAACAATTCTTATTCAACAAGTTATACCTCTTTTTCAGTTCAGTTCTACAGAAAATGTGTCAAGGGGCAGTGCAATTAAAATAAACTGCAAGTAAATGAAGCTGGCAAGAAGTACTGATGTGTTTTTGCAATACATTTTAAAAAGAATGAAAAATTGATGATTTTTTTTTTAGGACTGTCATTTAGAGCTTTTAAAGCACACGCTTGTTCAAATTTTGTCACAACCGAGGACAAATAGCCCTTGTATATATTAATTCTGGTTTTACTATATGTTTGTTACTTCTGAAGTTTCCCTAAACTCATGTAGAGTGAGCCAGCCTGGATACATCAGTTGAAATAAAATATGACTTTGCTATGTTTAATGATATTTCTGTCTTTTTTTAGTGGATCAGATGTTCTGGGAAGTTATGCAGCTGAGACGAGAGATGTCACTAGCAAAACTTGGCTATTACAAGGAAGAGCTCTAAATCTTTTTACTCTTGCGCGTGCATGAACTTCATTGAATATGCATAACTAAAATTGCTGAATCTTTTTTTGTCACTTGATATTTATTTCCACAAAGTGGGTCCAAGATCTCTCTCCTTTTGCAAATGGCACTAAGAAGTACTGTGATTGTTTTAAACTGACCTATGCTGTATATGCCTACATATAATATTTAGTTGAACAAATGTGGTAAACACTTGCAGGTGTATTAGTGACTGTAATTTACATTTAGAAACAAAACTTCTGATTAAAGTGTTAATCTGAAACAGTGTCTGTCTTTGTTCTTTGTGATGCAGAATGATGTGAACCTTCCCAATATTACATTCTGAAACATTAAACTGAGATTATTTTAAGAAGAAGGAATAAACGCCTGACATTTTCTTTGTTGTAGTGTTTAGATACGTGATTATAGCTCTCTATGCTTGTATGCCAGTACAGTTAACTGGGAGGACTTGGAATTCTTTGAAGTGCTGCTTTCTTATACTTGTAACTTTAAAAAATTTGTAGAGAGAGAAGGGTCACAGCATAATAAGTCTGTGTATGTTCTCTCTAAAGTAGGGTGCTTTTCAAATACCAAGGTACAATGAAATTATCTTGTTCACTCTTTCATTAGAAATCTGTCCTGATCTCTGACTGCTAAAAACTTTCTTTCCCTCTAATTTTCTTTGATTAGAATTTTTTCATTCCTTTAAAGTATTTTTTCTCCTGTATTTTTTGGGGGTGGGGGAATACCAGTTTCCACTGTTTATACATCATTTTCCCCATAGCTGTCCTTGAAGCTGGGAAATTTCCATTATGTGATTTCTTTAACATGCTGATGATAATTTCCATATAATGTTACCAGTTTTTTCACACACACAAATTGTGTCAGAGGGAACCCAAAAAAGGATCATGGCCTCTAAAGAAGATGCTTTTCCTGTTTTTACTTTGGCCCTTGAAGTTCAAGTGGTCCTTCTTTTCCTGGGCATTGTTTAAGCTGAAAGCAGACAGCTGATGAGGTTAAGTGGAACATAGTTATGGGTATGTACTAGGCTTGCCTTTTTGGAAAACCATTAGATCTTGATTGTGACTGCTGTTCATCAGTTTCTCATAACAGTTAAGCACTGGCAGGTAAACTGACAAACATAAGAAGGCATATTTATATAGTTGTTTTAAGAAGCATCATCTCACTGGATACAGATCTCTTTGATGCTGAACAAAACCAACACTATTCGTCACTCTTACTGGAATGTTCTCTGTTCTCACAAAAGTAAATAGAAGGAGCAATGAAATTTAATACCATACTTGTGCATGTGCCTGCAAACACTGGGCAAGTGGTGGCTTTGACTGGGCATTTCAATGTTAAGATGAAAAAAACAGCTGAACCTAAATATTTCCCTAGTAATGGAGTATGTATGTCCAGCCTGAGCTATTTCAGTACCAAGGAAATATTTTTATCAATCTCATCACTGGGTACTACTTGCTATTGTAGAAACCTGGAAGAGTTCTACTATAAATTGTTGAAGGATTGTTTATTCTTTCAGTAATACCTAGGAAGTCTGATTTTACTCACTCTTAGAAAACAAACTGTGTTTATTGGTGTTACATTTTGTTAGGCTCATAAATGCTTCCAAAATGATTGTTAATTCTTAGTTTACATAATGAGAGTGAACTATTTCCATGATTAGCTAACAGTAGGTAAATGATAGCCAGTAGCTATTGCTATTCTGACTTAATAATCCTTTACACAACAACAAAATATTGTTGCTCATTCAAGCAGAGAGAAGGGTCCTTTCTATACATAATAGTATCTAAAATGTGTTATGCTGCAGTGATTTTCTTGTATTAGGGAAGACAGAGAGGTACCCTGTGTATCTCAATTCCACCAACATCTCGTCAGTGCTGATTGGCTTGCTTCTGTCTTCAAGTCCCTAGTCCAAAATTATTTTCTGTATTTTTAATATGAGCTGTTTATCATGAGAAGCCTGTGTCTCATGTGAGTGCCTGGGGCTTGTAAAATTGCACAACAGTTACTTGTCTGGTGAATATAATTACTTCAGAAAATTATCTAATTCCAGAGTTTGCTTCACTGAAACTTTTCTTCATGACCAAATGCCTCTTTCAATGCCTACTCAAAACATTGAATATTTTTTTCTTGTTTGCTTAGGGGTGACAGAATGGGCAATTTTCACTGTTTAAACATGAACTCAAAGAAAGTGAAATAGGGTTTGCTGCCAGCCTTGAAAGAGCTTTGTTCCATGTTTAGCTTTTCTGTATGTTTTGCAATGTTACGTTAGACAAACGGGTTAATCCATAATTTAGTTTTGTTAATAATAGTAACAGGGTAGATGTTCAACTTCCTTACCAGTGATGGCTTTGCTGTTGCATTTTTGAGTAATTTTGCTTTCATCAGTAGCATTAATTACGTGACCTGTGTGAAAGTACAAAGACAAGATAAGTAATTTTTATTGCTGTGTTTTTTGCGCATGTGTAATTATGGTTAGTACTGGGACTAAAGGTCCTTAAAACAGCATTAGACTTACTGAATGAATAGAACACACATCACCTTCATCTTGTCTCAAAAGCCTTGTCAGATTTTCCTTTCCATGTAGTGTAACTCCTTTACATAAAACTTAAGTCTAACCCTGACTCTAGTTGTGGAGGAATAAAATCAGCTGGGACCAGGTCATTGAAACCTCTGACAGAAGCATGACAGGTTTCTTGGCATGCTCGTAATCATCTGGAAGAGAGACACTGCATTTTTCTCTACAGGGACTCATCAAGCAGTAGGAAAACAAACTGCTTCTACTGGTTTTTCATGGATGTGGTGGGAGAAAATGAGGCCTTGCAGCAGTTCTTTGAAGGTAAGAGTTTACTTTCAAGAGAAAGTCTTTAACAATTTTTGGTGGCAGCAAAAACACATTATTTGTTTGGCAGTAATTGAGGAAGAGAGGAGGAGGAAAAAGAGCCCTGAAATCCAAAGTTCTATTTACACATAGCTATTGTGTAAGGCAATACCAGAATGAAATTGTACAAATGGTATAGGTGTGCTGCAGTACCTTTTTCTTTGTACTCTGGCCAGAAGGCCAAAGGGAAGGTAGACACAGCAGAGCCTGCAGTACTGCCATGGTAATTGCCTTGAAGGAAAACTGGGAGATGACATGTCATTTTGCAGTTTATCACTTCTGTAGCTTTTAAGTTTTAATTTCAAACTAGAAAATGAAAGATTCTCCAGCATTGATAAAGAAAATATATTTAAGCCAAGAAATTTAAACTGGTGAGCTGTGTAGGGCTGCTAGCTAGCTAATGTGTTGTTTACAGGTGTTAGGAAATTCATACTGTGTTCCTTTAGTTTAAGTCACAGAGATTAAAAGCTAACAAACTCTTGGCTTTGCTTTCACCAACATAATGTTTGTTTTTATCACAGTGCTTGTTCAACTACTGCATTGCTTGGCCGTTAAATACTTAAAATAGGACAGGAATTATATCTAAAAAAAATAAATCCCTTAATCAGGTTTTTTTAGGAACCCACTTGAAAAACAGGACTTACTAGGAAGTATAGGTTAGGTTCTGTTGACTTTTGTGACAATGATACTTTGATGGTAGAAGGTATCTCAGAGTTTTTAGGTGTATGAGCTCTTTAACTGGAACTAGTATTTTTAATTCTATAATTATTAGTTTAACTCTTTTTAGAAGGTAGTTAGGCAGAACATCTGTCTGTGCCAGTGTGAGAGGAAGAAGCTGTGTTAATTCCATTTAACTGAGGAAAAATGAAACTTCTTGGGATATCATGTTTCTTTGATAATGTGTGGTTCTGCTGTGTCACACTAGAATGTGACAAAGGTCTAATGGCATACAGTGTGCAGGGATGCTGTTAGATGGCTGAATTTCATTATCTGGACACAGATATGTATCAAGGCCAGAAGAGCAATCATTCATTCTGCATGGAGTAAGCTCCTCTTGCTGTTAGACCATGGGTAAGTCTGAAGAAGGAGCAAGCTATATCAAAGCAATGTTTGCTTCCTTTTTGAGCAGGGCTTACATTTACTAAATGCGTGGCCTGCTGGCCAGCTTTAACTGAGGGCCTCTCCAGCTTGGAGCTACAGCTTGTGGTTGGCTTTATAACACCACCTCATGACACAAGAGTCATAAACTGCAAGTGCTGATTTGGTGGCCTCTGCGATTAGTCGTAGCAGCATTAGAACACTGACTTCCAATGCTGTGACAAGGCTGAGTCCTGCAATATTAAGTGGAGAATGGTGCTACTGAGGAGGTCTTTCTGCTTCCTCAGTGGTTCAGTTTTGGCTTACAAATGCGTCAGCTGGCAGCTAAGCTCATTTATAGATATGCTTTGTGAGACTTTTTTTGAAGTTTCAGGAGCAAAACCGATTCAATTTACCCTATCACTTTAATTCCTTACAGTGCATATTCATTTGGACAGCCATTAGTAAGATGAACTCACGTCTGCATTATTGAGAGGGAACAGTCTGAAACACGATTTATTTATTTTTTCCCAAGGAAAGTGATGTTAGGGAATACATTCCGTGCAGGTAGCTCAGTGTGCAGCTGCAGTGCAAGCTGCAGATTGAGCTCTGGGTGGAGGGGGGCCCAGGCAAGAGGCTGTGAACAGCTGGTCCTTCGCAGAGCAAAGGGCATGGGGATTTGTGATGCAGCCAGGTGACCGGACACTCCGAGACACAGCAGGAGCTGAGGACCTCCAGACTGTCCTGCACTTTCCTTTGTTTGGGATCCCTTCTCAGAGGCACCCAGCTCAAGCTATTACTTTGTTAGTTAATTATTACATCAAGATTTAAGTATTTGAAGGATCTGGACATCTGAGTCTCTGCTCTGGGAAACCAGGGGTTGAGCAGGTGAGGAAACCTGGTGTTGCTGTGAGTGTGAGGTGAGCAGAGAGTCCAGAAGGACACATCTTGCTCGCTGGAGCTGCCACTGTGAAGGGGCCTCTGTTGTAGAGCAGGTAGTGTGAGTGTGACTGCAGAGTGGCTCCTGGATCGTCCGGCAGGGAAGTTACCTTAACAGTGAGATAATGTTTGTTTTCTTGATGATCACTTCTTTGAATAGTTGCTCGACCTTATAGATTAGATACGACTCTGGGATTTGACCTTGTTTTTTTCTCATTCAAGTAAATGGCTTTTGTCCTGTGGCTGTTCTGGGAAGTACTTGGGGTTTTTGGGGGGGCTGTTTTTGGTGTCATTTTGCACGCTAGAGATTTCATCTTTGATGCAGGCTTTTTCTATTATTTCTGTTGAAATGAGTATATCTAATTAAAACCTTTTGCTTTTGTGAATGAGTATGTTCCTGTTTATCAAGGGAAGGTCAGAGCTCCTGATTAGCTCTTCTGCCTGGTCTGTAGCAGAACAATCTGTTCTTGCTGATGTTATCAATGGGTTGAGAAACGTGAGGGAAGGCCTTCCTAGTTACACTATTAAACTCAGTCTTCTCTTTTTTATTGTTGTTCTAAGGTACTTTGAGGTGTCTGAAATGCATGTTTGGTCTCGGTGCTCTCTGTGATCTAAAGAAAGCTCTTAGTGGAATCACCACTTCTCTGTATACCCATGCTCTTGGATGGGTAACGTGGAACATAGTTTAGAGCTCTTGGCAAATAAAGCCAAACACAATGCTCTTAAACACAAAAACCATAAAACCCAGAGATGTCTCATACCATTTTAAGATGAGAGGTTGAAACAGGAATAAAAGGTGAAATGATAAATTTAAAATACTGACAGTAAGATTTATTTCTCTGGCAAACGCTACTTTGAGAGGAGAAAGAAAACTCAAATAAAAAAAACCACCTCAAAAAAAAGCTTGTGGCTTACTGCTTGGAATTACAGGTCCTTCTAAAGGTGGGTGACCTAGATGGTGATACCTCCTGGCTGGCTTCAGTGCTCCCAGCTACAGCTGGTTTGTCCTTAACCCTTTCCTGTTTGTTACTGCCATGTGCCTGAGGTCTGTGTCTGTAACTCTCCATCTTGTCAGTGACCCCAGGTCTGTTCCAGTCAAAATCAACTGAACTATTGCAAACAAATTAAATAACAACCAGTCCTTGGAGTCCTATAGTGTGAGAGAAGGGACTATAAGTCCCATAAGTAATACTTACCTTAGTATAAGTCTGTGATTTCAGCTGGACTTTCCACTGAGTCTGTATAGTTGAGCCCGTAAAGTGCTGATGCCTGTTTTAGTGTTAAAGAGCATTCAGATGGAAATCGGTGAAAAATTCTCAAGCAGAATCATTTCCCACAAGTTGCAAGGGCTTGTAGCAAACATCATGAATTTGTCTGTTCAGCAAGCAGGTATTAGTGAACACCAACCATGTTCTGTGTGCCATTTTTACATTTTTGAGCTGTGTTTAAGGATTGTTCTCTGTGCAGAGTAGCTGATGTTTTAACATGAATCTTACTACACATGGCTGGACTTCGCTAGAAAGTTACTGCCATCCTCTTTATGTCAGGAAATGATCAGTTTATTGTTGATTTTTAGTTATACTATTTCTCTGTCCTCCATCCTTCACTTGCATTCAGATACCACTGAAAAGGAAGCAACTGATTTAAATGCAAACATATGTAAGGCAATACATGGAAGTGTTGGGAGGATTAATCAAGCCAGGTTTTTCAGGGATTGTTGGTTACAGAACCATAGAGTGAAGCTGAGGAGCTAGGTGATGAGAGCCTCTTGGCTGGAGGAGAGGAGAGGATGTCTGTTCTGTGCAGGAAGCCTCTCAGCAGGGCTTCTCCTGCCACATATGCACAGTTCTGTCTCTTACAGGTGCCTAACAGCCAGGTGAACAGACTTGCATACTGCCCATATCTGTTAAACACTTCCTGTGATCAAATGCCTGTGAAATGGATGCCAAAATTTAAAATAAATTTGCATATGATCCAATAGGTCCTCCTCTGCTGAAACAAATGCCAGTGCAAGCATGTGATGCTACTGACCTGGAAAGCGCATTCAGAAAGGAAGCATAAAGTTCTACAGGCCAGCAAAATAAATGTACCAGCTCTTATGTGCACCTGCATCAGAAACATTCATTAGTGGTGGCCTATCTTCTTCCTGGTGTGCTTCCTTCCTCTCCCAGCACAGAATTACTGATCCTTGCCTTCTCCTCCCCATTTAAGTGTTCATGCAAAGTGGAGAGATTAAGATGGAATGATACATATTGCTGTTGTTATCACTTAGCAACAGAGATGATCTCTGAACTGTGGGATGCCCATTTGAAAGGCATTGTCCTTGTTTGAGTCATAGCTGTGTTCTTTGATTCAAAAGAGCCTGTTTCTCACCTTGGTCAAAACAAAGGATTATTGGGTTTGTGATACAGGAACACACTTTGTATTTTACCTCTGGCCTCATGTTAGTAATAAAATTATATCATTCTGCATGAAGACTAGGCAATTTGACCTGAAGAACAGGTGGGTAAAAGGAGGAGAAGGCGATTGAATCATTTTCCTGTGAACTACATTAGTAAAAGGAGAAGTGTTTGTGATTCAAGACAAGGGTATATTACATTCAGACATGAAGAATTAAAAGATGCTTCAAGACTTTCCATGTTACAATTTTGCTGAGGCAAGTTGGTATGCTACACCTATTGAATCTCTTCTTCTCTGGTGTGTCTACACACCTGTACACCTGTAGACAGGTTTGTCTACAACATCAATATATTAAGATGTTGTAGCGACGTCGCTTTTTGACCCTTCGATGTCAGCTCTTCCTATCATTGTGAAGCAGAATTCACCAAGCGTTGGATAGTTCACCCAGTAATAGGGAACGTGAGCTGGGATTAGACCGTCGTGAGACAGGTTAGTTTTACCCTACTGATGATGTGTTGTTGCAATAGCAGTAGATCTGCTAGTAGCACACCTGCAAATTGCTGTCCCTCAGTGAAAGGCAGTCAGAATTAAGCCTGCAGCAATGATAAGTAAACAATGTCTAGATTAATCTGTGATCAGTTTATTAGCAATGTGAATTTATATATTAAGAAAGTTGCAGAAAAGGATTCCTGTGCAAGGTGACAGATTTTTAGATGCTGCTCGTGTCTTACCCTTTCTGAACACTGGGTCAAGGTGCCAGACAGAGACATCAGAAACGAACTGAAGATATTTTATGGTGACTTCTTACTATGCAAGCTAGTACAGTGAGAAGACAGCAAAAACACTGAAGGCAGTTACTACTCCTCTGCTCAATGGCAGCTACTAACTCAATGGCAGCTGTGAACCTTTTGTGCTCTCCCATGCTACTGCAGAGCTGAGGGGACATAGTTGGTGTCAGATGCTGGGGGCTGAGCCACACATAGCTCGAGTACAAATATCAAGGTCCTTATCTTGTTTGCTTTCTGACTGGCCACACCTGTATTTGTGGAAGGCTTGCTGGAGAGGTGGAGCCTGCAGAGTAGGTCTCCTTGGTTGGATTTTTTTAGAGAGCTCCAGTTGACTTTCTGCAAAAGTTGTCATGAATTCCAGAAACTTTATAATCATAAAATCTGTTTATAGCCTTCAGTTACCAAGCAACAAAGGACAAAGTACTGAACCTTTTTATTTGTTAATGCATTGAACATGTTAGTGGGTTGGGTTTTTTCAGGCACAATAAAAAGAAGCTACCAATCAAACATTTCTAAAGCATTATTTGTGCTTTCTTTAAGCTCAGATGATTGAGTGTTTCAGAAACTCACTAATACAGAAAATGGATCTATGTGTGACAATGTCTGAGCTTTGACCCAACTAATTGTTTTTTGCTAGTGTAAAAGAGTCAGAAATTATCTTCAAAACCCTTTTCCCCAGCTGCAGTCTGGAGTCCTTCACTCTCCTGCTGTGGTAATTCAGTGAGCCTTAATAGCACTGGTGTTTGCTTGGTGCTGCTGTCATCTATCTGCCCTTGCACATACTTGTTTAGTCTGCATTTCCCATCATCCTTTTTCCCCAGAATGACTAAACCAGAAACATAACTCACCTGTTACACAAGACAGGACAGATTTGGTTTTCTTTTGTGTAAGAGCATGGACAGCTTTATTTAGTCTGAAACACTGATGATTCCCTCTAAATTTCTGTCTATGTTTAATTTTAGGGCAAGATGTCCATGGAGCCTTGGAGAATCCCATGGTGGATACAAGCATGTTGGAAGAATTCATTAGTAGTGACATAGAGTTTGGAACTTTGTAAGTATTGTAGCAAAATGTACTTTCTCTCCTCAGCCACCTCTCTTAAATTGTTTCCATTAGTGCCGTGATAAAATCTGAGTTTCAATGGGATTGTGGCTATCTTGATACTGTTTCTTGAAGCTACATAAGAAGAGTTGGAAAAAAAAATTAATTACATGTATTAATGGAAATACAGTTGCCTTGTTGTTCAACAGAATGAATGATAACAAAGTCTGAGCTGATTCACAACTGTTAAGCTAATTGTGACAATAAATGCAAAGCTGTTACTGCAACATCCTGTAAGAGCTAGTTCACTGTTCATGTCTAGAATAAGTGATAAAAGTGAGACTAATGTAAAATATATTGAGAGAATAATGTAAATCTCTCAGTTTGAGGGAAGCAGAACTACTGTTTTCATCCTAATACTTAGAGCAAAAGCTGTCCATTAATCTCTTTTGATACTGACTTTAAGAGATTCGAAGGATACATAGTGCAAAGGGTTGTGGTCAAGGGTGGAAGATTATGCAGCACACATCTAGCAAAGACTTAAACCCCAAATTGTTCATCTAGACAACTGTCAGATGACTGTTGTTCAATGCAAAATATTCTTAATGGGCTGAAACTTTCATTTGCAAGAAGCAGAGCTAGAGGAGGTGCTTTAAAACTAATTAAACATGGCATTTTTCATTCTAGACACAGCAGCACAGATGTTTGCTTACAGTGGGCTAAACAGGCTTCTACTTGCTCTAAATCATGAATAATGAATTGATTCTCTTTATCCATGCTATAAAAGTAAAGAAGAATGAAGAGGAGGTTGCATATAAATATATATAACCTTTATTTTTAGCGTGGCTAAACATGTGTTAGATTAACCAGATTATTGAGCAGGAGTTCAATGACAACTTTAAAATGTTATTATATTGCTTTTATACACAAAATGAAGCAGAAATCTAAATGTGTATATATACTGTTATGTAACTTAGCTATGTTAGATATAGTTACAATGCTACAAAGCATTTACATGCAAGAAAACCATCTCTAAAGCTATCATGGGTTTGGAGGCTCAAGAGGATTTTGCACTAATACAATAGTCATATTTCATTATTTATGGGATTAAGAGCATTTACTGAGTCATTAGATCTCTACAAGTCAAATTAATAAGTATTTGTCTGTATTGCAGACTATCTGTACATAAACAGAATAGCAGCAATGCCATTACAAAATATGAAGCACATGTCAAAAGTAGTAGGCTGTAACCAAAAATGACACTGCTCTCTTTAATGCCATCCAAACTCAGAAATGCAAAACTCAAAGTAGAAACAGTAGAATGAAAATCAGGTGATGAAAATTTTGCATTGATGATTGAAAATATTTGCTGTATATGTGGGAACACATTTTATGAATACGAAGGTGTCCCTTTAAGCACTTTAATTTTATTCAGCTTCTGCCAGAACACTGAGCCTTAGTAAAGGGGGTGTGTCTCATTACATTTCTGTCATCCTTCCTCTGCTCTAGAATTTTTAGTCTAACATACATTTTTAGCACTTGTCTTTCAGATTGGTCTTCAGACCAGTGTCTGAGCTGACAATTCACGGGAATACCTAAAAGGCTTAGGAGTCCATTTCTTAAATCTCCATCTATTCCTAATGTAGCAGAGGAACCCTGTGTATTTCCTTTAAATGCCAGCGAGATGGCATAGAATTTTCTCTCCCTTAAACTGCTTTGAAAACACCACTATGGACTGAAATAAATAATTAAATAGACATGACAGACCTGTGCCCTCAACAGACTGAAGAGAAGCATCAGTTCACTCTAGTGGCTTGCTGTTGGCCCAGCATGCTCCTGTTTTCAGTGCAGAGGGAATGAAGTGGCTGAATATACTGAGCATGATGTCATATGGTATGGAATATCCCTTTGGTCAGTTTGGTCTGTGTCTCCTCCCAGTCTCCCATGCACCCCCAATTTCCTTGCCAACATGGCAGCACAGAATGCAGTAAAGACCTTGGGTCTGTGTAAGCTCTGCTTAGTGATAACAAAAACTTCTTGCATTATCAACTCTGTGTTCAGCACAAAACCCAAACATAGCCCCACACTAGCCACTGTGAAGAAGGTTAACCCTACTTCAGTGCAAACCAGCACACCTGGGTAGTGCTGACTGCCAAGGACCCTGAGCCACTGTGGAGGTGGCTCTGCCTTCCAACCCATAGGACATGAACTGAGAGATGAGCCTCTTGCTTCTATAGCTCTACATAGAGGCCAGCAGGCCAGCTCTGCCTGAATCTGTCATGGTGTGGTGTTACTCAGCAGGTGTGTTCACGCAAGCCGTTGGGATGATGGTACTCATGTGGAGGGCTGCATGGGTCAGCCCCTTGGGAGCATCCTTTGTCTGGGGCAAGAGAGCCCAGACATAAGAAACTTTTACTTTGTTACTAAATAACGCAAAATTTTCATCATTGACATGTATTTAGAAAAAGATAATGTAGCCAATTAAGCACTTGGGAAATGTCTTTTCTCCCCTGCATTTTTGAGACTTGGTTATTCAGGTTTCAGCAATATGTCAAGATTGTGTCTGGTGATAAACTCAGCATTACAGATAATGGGTCAATAATGGTGTTTGGGTTAAAACACAACTGAATGGCTTGTCTTTTATGAAGAATGAGGTTTGGGGTTTTTTTGGGTTTGTTTGGATTGTGAAACGTTTTTTTTAAAGAGGCTGTTGGGATGGACCTGTTTGTATTTTCAGGTTTTTGTAATTTAGGGATAGAAGCTATTAATTATTGGTCTCTTGCGATGTTTTTCCAAAGGAAACAAACAGGAAGATTATGTAAGACTGAGGAGAGGAAGGGCAGTCCATCACCCATGAAACCCCATGTTAAGATTCTGGGCTTTTTTGATGAGCTTGTGAAAGCTCATGTTTCAAACTGGGCACATGCATTTCCCACCTGTGTGTCAGCCCCCTCTTCCCTCTGCACTTGGGCTGCCTCTTGTGGTGAGCAAGGTGCTAAAATGGGACCTGCTCTAGTGTCTGACAGAGAGAGGCTGAGAGCACTTTGGCCAAACAGAGGTCTTAAGAAAATGGCTGCTGGATGAAGATGCTACAGATCTTTAACCTGTAGTCTAGAGAGAATGGGTTTAAATCCTTTGTGAGGTCTGTATGTTCAGAGTCACTGGTGTGCCTGGAGGTAACTGAAGGAGTATTGAAGTCAGTGGGTGGTGAAGTCAGGCTTTGGGCAAGTACTGGTAGAGATGGGGTCTCCCTGCATAGCAGCGAGAAGGAGAGCCATAGGCGATGATCTGATGAAGTGTAAGTGATGTTGCTCCTGTGAGAAGGGGCAGCAAACATGGTGAGCAATGTTTCCTGAAGATCCCTGTCAGTTGCCTGGGGGCCCACTGCATCTGCTTTCAGCATTGGCTGTTGTTGTCCTCCATGTCTTGTTCCAGTAGAAATTAAAATCTCTTTTTCATCCTTAGGCAAAGCCAGTTGCCAGACTCCCCACCAGACTCTGGATCTGAACCATGCTCCCCACCACAACTACAGAGTAGGTGACATGAATTTGGCCTCTCCCAAGCTCGTAGGAAGGTCTCCAGTTCCACTTCTGTGTTCTTGTTTTCTTGTCTGTTTATTTCCTGCAGCCCCATGGTATGATGCTACGTGGCCCAGTGGGCTGCAGCCTCCACTGCCATGCCCATCTGCTGCAGCACCCAGCAAGCTTCCCTGCAGGTTAATGGAGACTTACTGTGACTCCAGTGCCAGTGGGCATCCTTGTGCCATCCCCCAAGGCTGCTGCCTGAAGACACAAAATGCTGTGACTCCTTGGAATCATTCAACATCCTCCAGCTGTTTGGGTTTTAATTATTCGTATTTTCAGACAAATGGATCTCAGATTTCTGGGTAAATGATAAAGTTTTTATGCAAAGGACGAGACAGACTCAAAAAGAAGTAGACCTGATAGAAGGCATGGTTTATGATTGGTTGTAAATCCCCGTGGATATAGTGTTTTCCACAGGATGGCAGTGTTTGGACATTTTTGATATCCTCGTGGTTCAGTGTTATTTAAAACATCTTGATTGAAGTTAAGATTGGGATTAGGAATGGATTTCAATGTAAAAAACATTAGAAGGCTAAAGAGGGATCAACAGGTGCTTCATAACTGGATTATAAAAATATTCAGGTGCCTTGCAATACCTTTTGTAGGGATTTGTCCATAAGGATCTTGTGTTCTAGCAAGAGGCATGGTGAAAAAAAAATTGTCATATCTATGTAAACAAGTGAAATGGTATTCATATACCATCTGCCATATTAACCTACCAGTGTGTTGTGGATAATTAATTATTTAAAATACACTAGTATTTTAACATTAACTGTTAAAACCCACTTTTTTGTGCATACTTCTTGACTAAATGTGGAGTTCTAGAACAAACGCAGAGGAAGAATAACAATTGAGGTGGTGGGCAGACTTCTAAACTTCTACTCATGGAGAAGCCTTAGTTTGAGTACCTATTGGGCCTGACCAAGACCTGGAGTTTGGCTTGGTTTTTTCCCCCATGCAGGAGGAGTGATCATCTATCAGGATATTCAAGTTTACATTCTATAATATGAAAACTTTGGAATAAGGTTTTTTTCCTTTTGCACAAAGGAACATTTTTTCTGAAATCTCACTTTCTGGGAAAGGGGAAAGCTTTAACTCAGCAGTTGCCCCTTGAGATATCTTCGTTAATGCATTAGTTTAACCTGCTACTGGTGTTTTCTATATAAGAATGAAAAGTGTATTAATGCTCAGTGCAGTACAATTATTCAAGATAAAATCTGTGATTTCAATGCAGATGTCAGGAAACAGTAAACTCCTGCCACTTATGCACTGTGTAAATTTATTAAAAGACATCAACTTCTTTAATCACATGAAAGGAAAGAAAATATATTTTGGAAGGAAAAAAGAGGATAATCAGTTTTATAAAGCCAACAACAATCTCCTCCCCCTGGCAAATCAGAATTTGGATGACAATACAGTTAAAATGAGATCACAGATACCTGGGTGTTCTCGTTATAATTCTGTAATATCTGTATTTAAACTTGTAAATGAGTAATGCAACGTGTGTTTTTATAAAAGTATTTCTGCAGCATCAGGCAGAAAAAGGAAGCTCTCCCAATTACTTGGAGATGTCAATGATTCTCCAGTGCAGTTTCAGGATTCCAGACAAGGTAAGCAGCTGTATGAAGATGAAATATAATGTTTTATGCTGTAGACAAGTAAATATTTTAAGAGCAGAGCTCCTGCTAGCTCTGAAAATGTAGTGGCATTAATGGTCTGTAATCCCAGGTTTGGAGGAATTTACCTTTTCAGTGTTTTTGAAAACCAGGACCTATATATGTTTGGTGAAGAGAGAAGCAGCATTAGAGGTTCATGTTTCCTGAGGATCCTCTGGACAGAATCTTCTGCCCTTTTCCATGTGTGAGCCTCCAGTACACATATGACACCATACTCTGCTGACTTTGCTTGGTGCTAAATTGACTGAGCAAAGTAACTTTCTTGGGTCAGATTAACAGGGAATTAATGTATGAATGAGAAGAGATTCTGTTTATCACCTCCACTCCATATTTTTTTCTGCAAAGTGTATCCATGTGCAAGCTTGGTAAAATCTGTATTCAATCAAGATAAAAATGCTAAGCTTACACCAGCTGATAGAAAAAGTGCTTATCAGGCATGTACAGAAATGAATCAGCTTCTGTGAAGTGTGAGGCTCTCTATGAATGAACAGTTTATCTAAGGAATTTCATCCATGTCTGTTAGTGAAAAATCTGAGAGTTTGTTATTTCTTCAGAGGAAGTTAACTTTCAGCATTAAATCCATTTTTTAGAATACTTTTAATGAGTAGCAACTGCATTTAGTAGGTTACATTTCCTTCGGTATCTTTTACTTGATAAGTGTTTCTTGGTTGTGACTAGGCGTCTAAGTCAACCTGTGTTGGAAAGAGAAGACTAGCAGACACTTCTGTATCTAGAACTGCTGTTGCTGTTTTTAACACTGTAAGACATAGACTTGAAATAGGCTTTCTTTTGGTGTCACTGTTAATAAAATCTCACTGCCACATGCAGTGGAAGAACAGAGGCAATGGTAATAATGGCATGGGGATCATTTAGAAATGAGGTGTGAATGTCTTTACTGTGGTGAGGTGTTTTTATATATACCTTTACTTTGCTGTGTGTCAGAAGTGGCAACTTGCAGTTGAAGCTTGGGCCTGAAATGATTCTGTAGGCTTTGTCTCACTGTGCTGCCACTGGTTGTGAATGGATCTTAGTTTATATGCTCAATGACATATTTTCTCCTATCCTTAGTGCCCTCCATTTATCTGTCCCTCTTATCACATTCTCCTCTGTCTTCATAAAATGTATAATATCTCAGAGAATTGTGGCTGACCCTGTCTATCTCAGAAATCTCTAATGTATAATCAGAAAGCAGTAACCAGATCAACCAGATGTAGTAGTGAATGTGCTTGCTATTGGAAAATTGTGCCTCCTGCTGTATATTCCTCAGTTTAAACCTGTAGTAGAGAGAATGGGAAGCAAATGTTATTATTTTGCTTAATTGCTTTTTGTAGTATTGCAGATATACAGCAAAATACTTAGCTTTCCTTCCCCCCCAACCCCAAAGAAAACTATCTGTCCTTCTGGAAAAAATGAAAAATAGGAAGTGCTACTTGTGTAATGTTTTGCAAATCAGGAAAGCTGAAAAATGTATTTTCTAGAGCAAGGGAATATAACACAATCTTTTGGAATAACTGCAAAGGACAATCAGATTTACATATATATGCAATAAATTTGTGATTTTATATGTATGTGTAACTAGATAAATTTATTTAGGAAAATGTTTATGTAGGATTTTTGGCCAGTCCCAAAAGTAATAACTGAATTGTCACTATCTGTCTACAGGAACTGTTAAGGACTGTGCTGCTGAAGTGCAAGAATATGACAGTGATGGACAGAATGTGGCTTTGGAAAAATGCAGTCAAGCTCTAACATGGCAACCATATCAAACTTCTCAGTGGAACAGCTTATTGAACTCTAATTCTGAAAAACTGTAAGTGCTGATGTTTGCACTTGAAAAAAGTGGTTTCTTGTGGATTTATATTCTTTGTTATTGTAGTTTTGTAGGAATAAATGATACATTTGGCATCCCTTGTTCTTACTGAAAATGAGAACAGAGAAGGAAATATAACAGGCATGATGAAATATGAACTTGCAGGTGCATCAGATATGCAGAACTTTAAACACTGGTTGAAATTCATGCCAGGTTTCCTGATTTCTCTTCAGGGATTTAGGGGCAAAGTTAAAATACCTGTTAACTTTTGTTTATTTTGTCCAGCGCATTGGGGCAAATACTTACTAAGCATATGGCACCTTTCCCTTGAGTAGCCTAAAATACTAAAAAAATTGAATTAGAAGATACCTGTATTACTTTTGCACTCATATGACCTAAGTTTTAATAACTATAGACATCTGTGTGTGACATGCAACTGTTTAGTCAAAGATTTACAGTCTTCCTGTGTAAAAAACTGTGTAAACTGTAAATATTTTTTTCCACATGATCTGAGTAAGGTCATACTAAGTTCACTTTACATCCCTGGCTTTCTCCATTCTAGTATTTAGTGAATGAATCCTCTTAAAAAATGAAGCCTTTTCTACAGCATCTGGTTAGTTCTTCAGGATTGGTGCAAAAAAATTTGTCACTGTATCCACAGGACTTACACAGCATAGTAAATTTTAATTTTCCTCTAGCCCAGCCTACTGAAAACTCTCATGGGAGTTGAGGGTGTATGAATGTCATTGCTGGACACTGATGTTCCCTGTTTGCACACAGTGTGATGGGGCAATACACATCTTACTGTGTCCCACACAATCCTTCTCCTAAGGTGTTCACATGACAAGAGAGCAGGCAGCTCAGTGTCCATGCCTTTCTACTCCCTGGGAGCTGGATGGGCCCAGAAACCTCTGGCTAAGTTTGTGATGTGAATTGTCACTCTAAATGGAAGTGGCTTTCAACTCCTGTTACACTTTCAGTCAATGACTACATGAGAGCTGTGTGCTGACGGTGGGAGATTGCTCTTTTGCCACTACCCAATTACTAGTTGGTTTCCATGCACTTAAAATTGAGGTTCCAGACTCACATTTCTTTGTGGCTTGGGTCAATAAAGACAATGTGATACTGAGCATTTAAATATCCACACACTGTGGGGGAGGATTGAGATATTATTTGCAGAGGATGTCAGTATTACTTTTAAGTGAGGTCAATGGCAATGCCATTGTCCCAAGATGCACTGTAATTACAGCACATTGCACAGATTGTCTGGGTAGTGATCCTGTATTCTATTAGCCTCAAAAGACTCATGTGCTTATTGTTGCTCAGGGTAGGTAGACTGATTCTGTGCCTTCAAATTGCTGTGCCTGCTTTAAGGGCATTTCTCAGGTTAATTAAAATTTTCCATTGTATTCATACATTATTTTAACCTTTTGGTTATTTCATTTTCACAACAAAAATGCTGTTAGCTGAGATAGATTCATTAGAAAGGGTTACTTGGCCATAATTATGCCCTGCATTGTGTGTGCTTGGCACCTGTTTGACCCCTTGCCCCATATTGGTGGGGCTCTGTTCCAAAGATGATGCCTGAAGTATTCAATTCTGAATAGAAAGAGGAATTTGAAGCATATTTCTAGTAGGAATGCTTGTGTGACAGAGATAACCCTTGTTATCTAAAAGTTATTCCTAATTTTACTGTACTGCTTGGGAAGACTCACCATTCTTTGTGCACTAAGAACAAAATGTGTTTGCTCTTAATGACTGTAAATGACATACTCAGAAAATTACAACACGAAATTGCTCTCTAGGAGTCATTGTTCCAAACACTTCAGCTTGGGGACATGGAAATTTGTAATTTTGCTTCTCAAGTTGCCTGCTTATGTGTAAGCAAATAGCCTGAAATTGCTTTAAGAATATTGGCTAATGAACTTGCTGCACCTAAATCTGAAAAATGACACACATTTCCTACATAAATAAAAAAAATTAGCCATTGTAGGAAGAAACTGAAGAAGTTTTTCTTCTTTGATAATGATGGTTTGAGGAGTGATAGACACTTCATTATATTTTCAAATATGAATTAACACATGACTTAGTAGTTTTGAATTTCTTACAAAATAGTTTTCTCTTTATCCCAGATAATCAGTACTGCCTGAAAGGGGACTTGTGTTTATAATTTATAAAAAGATAATAAAGTCTGTAGATTTCTTATGAAGTCTGTACATTTGATTTTTCCAACTAATAATGTGCCAATGAATGGAAGAGTTCTGAGAAGCCATCTTCAGTAACTGTGTTAATGAGAGCTTCTCAGTAGCATCAGACAAGATCATCTTTATCAAGCTTTTACTAGCAAGAAAAGCCAATGCCCATATAAGAGAACTTTGCCATATGTAGTCCTGTTATTTTAGAATTATCCGTCACTTAAATCAGAGGACTGGAAACATTGTTGGGATGGTGAGTTCACTCTGCCATCTAGAAAGATCCTTTGATACCTTTCCTCGTTTACTGTGGATCTTAAGGACAGAACACTCTTGCTTTTTGGGTGACAAATTAGCCCTTTGAATAAATAAAATAGGGTTTCTTTAGTTGGAGTAGGAAGGACAACATGTAAGGAAGAGTTTTGTAGTCATTTGGCTAGAGGGTCAGTACCAATAGCTTTTCTTTTAGCTTGGGTAAAACCTTATTTGAATTCCAGTAGCTTCTGCAGAAGTGCTTGATGTGGGAATTCATGAACAAAACAGGGAGTCTTGCTGGCTCATTAGTACATTGTTGTCTGCAGCATTAGCTGCAGACTCTGTTGTTTATATGAGTGTTATAATGAATGTTTGAATACACTAAAAGGTTTGCTTGTGCTTTTAGGTGCACAGAGTTCCTTTATACATAATTGTATGTGAGGATTATGTAAGCCTCTCCACCTCTGGTTTCAAAACATATGTCAGACTAGAATTAGAGGACATTTTATGTGCATTTTCATTTTTACACCTTTGAGTGGCTAATAAGAAAATACTAGTAGAACTGGTGATTGTAAGGATAAATTTTAGCTCCCATTTTGTCACTAAAAATCAGATGGATTTTCAGACCACGCAAAAAATAGGAGATCAAAATGTCACTCAAATATGCCAGTACTTAAACTTGCTCTTCTTTCTTCTTGTTTTTGTAGACCTGCTGTAGGATATCACATTGTCACAGATAAAGGATTTAATTTTTCAACAGCAGATGATGCCTTTGTGTGCCAGAAGAAGAATCATTTCCAAATCACAGTTCATATTAGAATCACTGGACATCCAAAATATGTCAAAACTCAGCTGGGGGTGAAACCAATAGAAAGGTTTTACTTGAAAGTTTATGGAATTAAGGCAAGTGTGCCTCTTCTTTGAGACTATTACTTTTAGTTATCCATATAATGAGGTAAATAATTGAAAGAAACTCTTCTTAGCAATTTTTGAACAATAACTGACAAACAAGAACTCTTTTAGGTTACTAATAACTTCTGTGTGGAACTCCTTTGCATAAAAAGAAAGAAGTGATGTTTTACGGAAGACTTTTATTTTCCTAGCCAATATGGGTCCACAAACCTGCATATACAGAAGTAGTATGAAACTGTAATCTTTCTGAAATATTCCGTCAGGTGTTTTTTTGGCTTTTTTTTGGCTTACTACAAACATTCAGTGATTTAAAAAAAAATCCATGTAGCTGTTTCCTAAGGCAGCTCCTACCGGTTTTGCTTAATGCATTCTAATGCAGAAGAACTTAGTAAATATTGCTGTCATCTGTCCTTATCTTAAGCAAAGTGCTGCTTGGCACCATTCCAGTAAGGTACAGAAATTCCCATTAAAATAACTTATGGAATGTGCATCTACCTCACATAGATTCAGTTCTCATGTTGATTATCTGCATTTATACTTTGGCGTAGAATGACCCAAGAACAGTCTGGATTCAGAAATCAATTTTTCTTTTGCAAATTAATGCATGACTTTCTTTTTTTTCTCTTCATTTTAAATTGCATCCACAGAAAGATTTGGGTCTTCAGACTAGCTGTCAATTATTAATTGAACAGGGGTCAGCTCCTGTATTAATTTCTATGTAGTTCCATTAGAAATCAGAGAAATTTCACTGTTTCAGACACAATTTTCCTATTAATTTCCATTTCAATTTTTATGCATTTGAAAATTTAATACTTTTGTAATTTTTAAAAATGATTTTTCCTTTATAGGTGGAAGCTCCAAATCAAACAATTGCTATTGAACAGTCTCAGTCAGATCGAAGCAAAAAAACTTTCCATCCTGTTAAGTAAGAATTTTGAGAAAATGATTCCATTTCATTTCAATATGTGATTAGTTTGAAATGTGAAGTTGTTGTTTCTTGAAAACTTATAGCAGCTCTAAACCAGTTTTCTGTTTTTTAACCAAATTCCATTGTGGGTGCACACATAGAATCACAATAGTAATATATACCTAGTTGCCCTTCATTAAAGAAAATTTTCAGAGTTTTATAAATTTGTTAAGTTTGTCTATCCAAAATATTTATATTCAACTAGCAACACTCTTGTATGCTGCTTAGAGCTGTATGGCAGGTGCATTTCCAATATTAAAAAATGTCAGTAATGTTCTTGTCCTACGTGGGCATGAGATGTATTTGCAGTGCTTCGAAGGGGGAGTGCCTCTCTAGAAACATACATGCAGCATCTTCCTGGAACTCTGCCATTCTTCAGCATCTTAACTCACTGGCAGAATCAATGTTTATTCTTCTGGCATAAGTGTCTTCTGTTGCAGCTGTTCTGTTCTCTATAAATAATTAAATAAGCATTATAGCACAAGAGATAAGACAGTGCCAAGTTAGACAGGACAGTGCTGGGATAAGTGCTGCACTATATTATCAGCAAAACTGAACTTTGAACTTGGGAGAAGAGCATGACCTCTATCATGGCATTTTTCTTCCTTTTGTATACTGACAAATAGATTCTGTGTGTATGTAAATTGTTTCATTTGTGACTGTTTGGTGGACTGTAGGTTTATCCACACAAACTCTTTGTATTATTTATCACTTACAGGAGCAGTGCCACTATATATGTGAGACATGAGTGTCTTTTGTACTTCCAGACATACAAATTTGGTGCAGGTGAAAAACAGGACAAGCAGTGAAATCTATTAACTTTAACGTGGAGATTCAGGTCCAACAATAAACAAGCAGATATTAACCTTGGCAAGTAGCAAATGCTTGTCATATGGAACACATACAGTTTTATTATATTCAAGACTGTGTACAAACAGACCAAGAAACACAAGACTCGTTTTACTAAGAACAGTTTCTGACTGCTGGTTCTTTATCCTGTTTATCTCCCTGACATAGTAACTTTTTTAATACATTTTTTGAAATGTTGGTTGGTGCATTTTTACTGGGGTTCCTCTGCTTTTTTCATTTGTCAGTTTTTCTCAGAACTGTTTTAATGAGTTTGAGAAAAACTGGCTTGAGCAGGTACATGTCCAGATGCTTACTTTCCTGATCTTGTTTCCTTTTCTGTTTTAGAGTTGATCTGCCAGGGGACCAGATAACTAAAGTAACACTGGGAAGGCTGCACTTCAGTGAAACAACAGCAAATAATATGAGAAAAAAGGGGAAACCTAATCCTGATCAGAGGTATAGCTGTAGCTAGCTGGCCTGTGTATTGGAAGGAGAAGAGAGAAGGTCTAATGTAGAATCGATCTAATGTTTGTAAAAAATCTCAGTGTTATCAAATCTCTGATTTTATTTCCAATTCTGTGATAATTTGTATGTGCTTAAAGGCCTCTTTTTCTAGAGTCACAGAATAATATGAGAATAAAAAAGAACCCCATACCTCATCCTCATGGTTAGAGACTGTTTCAGGAGAACATAGCCAGAACAATGACTGACAAAATCAGGAAGCCAAAAAACCCAAATAAGGATAATTTTCTTCTGAGGAAGGAAAGCTTTTCATCTTTGAGTCTTCATTATTTAAACTTGTCAAAATTACTGTAATCTTTGTTAATTTTCAGTGACTGTGGGGATTGTAAGAGCATATTTCGTGAGAGTGAAAGAAATGCTTTTTCTTTCACATGATAGCAAATAAATAGTAAAAAACATTCTGGCTATCTTTTTATGTATCAATAACAACACCTGTATTTAGAATGATTTTTTTTTCTGTAAGAAGACATTACTTCAACTATTGTCTTAATTAAATCAATTTCAAATTAGATACTTTATGCTGGTAGTTGGACTGTATGCTGTCTCTCAGGACCAGTTCTACCTACTATCTGCAAGTGTCTCTGAAAAGATCATCGTGAGGGTAGGTATAAATTTATATTGCTGTCACATTAAAGTATTTACTATTTTGATATTCACAGGAGATTGAGGGGGCATGACTCTTGGGCATAAAAATTTCTACTGACTCAAAAAGATTGAGGAAAAATATTACAACTGCATTGTGTATGAGTATGTTATCTTTTAATTATCAGAATTAAAAATGTTGCAAGTAGAGCTACTGAAGAATTTAAAATGAAAGCTTGTTGTGAATTCAAATACAAAATGCGTTGCTTTTTCCAGATTTTTTTTATTTGAGTTGAAGGAAATTCCTGCACTTGCTAGGAATTTGGTAAACACTTTTATTGGCTAGAAACTTCATTTTCTAAGGAGAATGAGAAGGAAAAAATATAAGGAATTTACATTATATATAAAAATATATTAAGTCAAGCAGCTTTAGGAAGACCCATAGCTGCCCCTTTCCAGTGTGTTTCCTGAGTGTCCCACCTCTTAATTTGGTGATATTAATATCAGTTTCAAGTTCGTAAAAGAAAGAATTAGTCTCTTCCTCACAACTATTACTTCTCAGTCCCCTGATCCACATAAAGTTTTCCTTTTAGTATTCAGATTTAGCCTAGAGTTAGACAAAGAAAAGAAAAAAAACCCCAGAGCTGTAGTGTAAGAGGAGCTATGGAGGATTAGGAGAGAGAGAAAGCGCAGAGCGCCCCAGTGTGAGTGAGATTGCAAGGAGACTACCAAGGGAAGGTGGGGGCTGCTGAAGTCTTTCAGTTCTTGCCCCTTTTTGTGTGATTTATAGCTGGTGGTTAACGTTTGAGTTGGGCATAGTCTAGCATTATGGTTATTTCTAGGGTGAATATTATGTTTATGGCTTAGAAAGATGGGAAATGTGTAGGTGCCATGCAGTGGGACTGCAAAGGATGGAGAGGCCTCTGGAAGATTGCAGTCCAGTCAAGTTTTTTATGTGTGTCAATCAAGGAGCTGCTTCTTTTTGCATGGACTCTTTCTAGTCCTTGGCTTATGGAAAATAGTCTTAGCAATTTGAGTCAGATAAGGTCAAGAGCTCTAGTGTATTAAGTGGGACTGGGAAGGGGATCCTAAAGAAAGGCAGGTGCTGTCAAATGTTTTTAGTCCTGGCATTGTTTTCTGCAGGCCATTACTTGTGCCCCTTTTGGCAGCCCATGGTCTGCCTAGGCTTATGGTTATGGCCTTGTTTAGCATTTGGGTTTGGAGGAAAATCTCCTGCATGTGTAGTGTTGCCCAGGGGCTTCCAAAGGAAGATGATGGCTTTCAGGTGGTTTCAGTCCTGGCACCGTTTTTGTCTGGGTGTCCTCTTGTGCCATAAATCCTCTTCCTGCCATCCTGCTTGGGTTTTGGGAGGGTATGGCTGAGGGCTCCTTTCTGGGTGGAGCTGTGACAGGGCCTTGAAGGCAATGTCTGGAGTTCAGCAGTTTTCTGCCCTGCTGAGAAGTTTTATTGTCCTGGCCATTGCTGTGGGTGCTTTTATTTCAGGACATTGAAGGACTATGTTTGCATTATTCCTGCATATATAGTTCTCCTTTTTTTCCCCCATTAATTATCACAACACCACTTTAATCTGAATTTCTCTTTCTGATTTAAGTGTTACAGATACCACCTGTTTATTAGTTTGCGTAACCTGTTGAATTTTCACATTTGCCTCATCCTTGTTACCTTACAAGATATATTTTTTTTGGTAATATTTAGAAACCTATGTTTTCCTACTATTTTTAAAATTAGATTCTTTTGAAATTTCAATGAAGAAGGATCCTTCAATGTGTGTGAGACAGGTTTTTAACAGGAATCTACAGAATGAGATTAGTCAAACCTGATCACTATTTCAGACAAAGAAAAAAAAGGCAGAAAAGCAGAAAGATCAAGAGGCTGTGATCTGAAGTGATGAAAATATCAACAGAAAAGCTGGAAAGAAAAACCCTCCAAATTTCCAGATGTCTAACAGGGCTTCAGTGACAGGGTAAAATGAGTCAGCCACTGCCTACTTTGAAGTGGTAAAGCTCTGCAAATGCAATGTGAAAGAAAGCAACTCAGGTTCTGGCCCTTTATACCCTCAAACCCAACAAAACTACCAGCTGAGTAGTGGTTGTCAGGCATATCAGATCATGCTCTAATTGTGACAAGCAGTGGTGAGTGCACACCACCATGCCTTATAGATTGCAAAGCCTTGTGAAAACCTGGTGTTGTTAAATGAGTGCTAACTTTTTATCATGATCATACTTTTATTCAGACTCACATTTTAAGGCCTGAATTCAAAGTTAAAAAAAACAAAACAACTTTCTGTTGTTTTATTGGTGTTCTTTGTAAGACCCTGTTTTCTTGACATGAAATTTCTAATATGGGTTAATTTAAAACATTACAGAGGATTTTATGAATTGCATTTGTTTAATCTCTGCCTTGTTTGCTCCTTTCTGATTTCCAGTCTGAAATAAAATTTACTGGTAAACAAAGGATGGTTATGTGGCATTTGGAAAGCTTTGGACATCAACAATGTAGCTTAAGGTGCTAATAAAGTAGGGGAAAAAAAAGTGAGGCCAATTCTGTGTGAGCAGAGACACTTAGAAATGACTCCACTGTTTTCTTCTGTTGGTGCATTAGAAAAGTTCTTGAATACAATTTGAATATTAAAGATTTGGCATTTCAGTTTCCCTGAATTTCTAATGGAATAAGCAGTCGTACATCTATGCTATAATATTTCTTAAAACAAATATTTTTGTTCTAGGCATCTAACCCAGGGCAGTTTGAGAATGACAGTGATGTACTGTGGCAGCGAGGACACGTTCCAGAGACGATAGTCTATCATGGTCGAGTAGGAATTAACACAGATGCACCAGACGAAGCACTGGTTGTCTGCGGAAATGCAAAAGTTATGGGCAGAGTCATGCATCCCTCTGACAGCCGAGCAAAGCAGAATATCCGCGAGGTGAGGGCTGTGGAGTATTCAGGGCATTTATGCTTGCACCACAGCACATGTGTGGATCATTGTTCTGACACATGAAGCAGCTTCTTTATTGTGGGTGTCCTGAAATGCTGGCCTAAAGAAACAGGATGTACCACTGTGCTCTGCAGAACCATTGCCTATGGACTTTGGAAGAGGCTGCCTGTAGAAACTGGGAGTTGTCAGACTGGCAATAAAAATAAAAGTAGCACTCTGATAATGGGGAATGGGAAGATTGTCCATATTTTTCAATGTGAAGATTGGCCAAATGACTGTGTCAGGCTACTTGCTCTCTCCGTGACGTCTTAGATGCCATTCTTAGTGCTTCAATATGTAAATCTTGGTATTTGTCCAACTAGGTCGATACGAATGAGCAGTTGAGAAGAATAACACAAATGAGGCTGGTGGAATATGACTACAAGCCTGAATTTGCATCTGTTATGGGAATAAAAGATACCCACGAAACAGGTATTCAGTCAGCTCTGTTCCCATTTTTAATTAATATCCACTTCTATTTGTTGTGCCATAGTGCCTTTTAACACCCTGCTATTCCATCCTCATTTCTTAGGGTACTGCAATTGTACACTTTACTGTGTATCTCTTGTGATATAAAAATGCCAAAATTAAGTATTTCTGGTAATTTTCCAGCTTCTGTTTCAATTTTTAAAGATGACACATTATTTTTCCAGAGATTTTATGAGAATGAAGTGCATGATTGCAACCAATTTTGTTCTTATTGCAGAGAAATGAGAATTCTAAAGGTATCTGCTTGTTTTCTGTGAAATGGAGAAAAAAAAAAGGGAAATCCTGGATTTTCCTACCGCAGAGAAATTCTACATCATCTTTGGCTCTGCCTGCAGCTTTTAGGATGGTCAACACAAAGCACATAACCATGATCAACAATATGCCACTGTGTTTCCTAACATTAATCTTTATCTCATGAACAGGAATAATAGCCCAGGAAGTGAAGGAGCTTTTACCTGAAGCTGTTAGAGAAGTTGGAGGTGTTGCTTGTAATGATGGAGAAAAAATAGAAAACTTCCTTATGGTTGACAAGGTATGGTCTAGAAGGAGAAAGTGGAGGTGTGTATTTAGATGCTCCTTTCATATATGGAGCTATAAACACATGCTATGCTTTATACAAGCTGTAGCCCTCCACATGCATTAACAAAAATGGTGTTTGGCAAACCATTGATAGTGATTTCATAACATTTGTTCAACAAGTGGCACTCCAAAACATTCTTTTGTGTATAAGCATTTCAGTTAATTAAGTGCTTCAGAAGTGAATTAAGCAATGATGGCATTCTATTTGTTAAATAAAAACTTACTCTAATTCTGGTATAACTTCTACATACCAAATACAAATGTATGTGAAGGTTTTTTGGCAATCTGAAATCCTTATTATGACTTCCAAATCATGTACCGTGAAATGTCCCTGGCACACAAAGTAATTACCATGCTTACATGTTGGAAACAATGCCTTAGTCTATTGTCCTATGCTCTCTTCCCTTACTTTTCTGTAGAAATAGGACTGCAAGGGACTGTCAGTCACAAAGTCCAGTCACACAGGACTGCTGACTGTGCTTGTCCAGAACATTGCTGATAGTGGCCCCTTCACTGTAGGCCAAGGACCACTTCCCAACTTTTACCCATTTATGGCTGACAGTGAGAAGAGGGAGGTTTTACAGATTGGTAACCTTATCTTGTCTGGATGATATCATGAGCACAATCCTGCATTCATTAAAATAATGCATTCTTTCATTATTTTATAAACCCCAAAATTTTACACCACCAAACATGGAGAAAGTATCTATTAAAAAGACTGTATTTCACTTGTATTCTTTTGATAGGCTACAAATAAGTTAAATTCCTATGTTAAATCTTCTAGGCTGTATTCCATATAAAAGCAGTATGAATTAGACACCTTAAATAAAGCTATGGAAAGAGCACTGTCTAGAGATACTGTTGAAAATGAGACTTCTAGAAAATTTGCTGTATTTGGTCAGGGTCCCAGCTTGTAGTTGATTTCTAGACACTCATAGAAGAGCAGTGTTGTTAGATGGTGACGCTAGGTTCATTTTGCCCTTTAGCCCTTCCTGTTATATTGTGTGACAGCTGCAGCATCATTTGTATTTTTGAGCCTCTACAAACTTGCTTTGAGGTAGTCAGGGTTTTTTTCTGGCAAAAGTTTAGGTTGAACAATTGAGCTTTTGATTTATATCTATTCTTTGCTGAAATATCACACAAAATACCATCTCTAACAGTGCCTCACAGCACTGCTGTTTGGGCCCATCGTGTTCCCCTTTCTCCTCTGTACCTTGGGTCTCTGGACAATGCATGGCAGGATGTCTTCCAGGGGTGTGACCTAGCAAATGAAGAAAACCTTCTCTCTACTTCATGCCTGCAGAGTATGATTCTGTGGTGTATGTGGCCCAAGC